ATATATATATATATATATATATATATATATATATATATATATATATATATATATATATATATACACACATACATTTATAGAGAAATACAAATTTATAAACTATATGCATAATTTATATTAGCCTACAAAACCTGTAGATCAAAATGAAAATTTATTTTGACTGAAAATCAAATAAGCCAAATAAGTTGCTAAAATGTGAAAATATCAATATTTAGAAGTTTCAACACTGATTAAAGAATTAAGCGTGCCTCAGAGTTTGCTGATTGTCCTCTTCTTCACTGTCGCTCCAGTCGCAGTCATCAGAGTCTGAATCCCACTCTGACCTCATGATGCTTTGCATGTTTACTTACCGTCTGACCTGAGCACAGCTATACGCGCACATATACTACTACAGTACAGTACACTTCTATTTACACTAAAACAATCACTGTGTGACATCTGTCCCATCGTTGGCAGTTATGTCCAGAGGAAGAGCTCTCACACACGACTCCCTGCAAGCGAAAAGGTCTGGACACTAAATGGTAAACGCACAGCCAAACACACATGCATGCGCAGCATCTGCTTCTGTGTCTAACTGCAAATACTGCCAGACACCCCACACACACACACACACGGCCGGATCCATTTCCAGTGAAACACACTTGTACTTGCAGAGGTGAGAATTCTTCACAACATATTGGCACTAAAGCTGTCACAGCACAAATACACAATAACGCTTCTGCAAAGGTCACAGCTGCTCCACAATATTACTGAACACAGAGAGACAGAGGAGCGGAGGAAAATCTGTTCATTAACTCACCTTCAGTGACGTTCTAAACCCATATGAATTTAATTCTTCGGTGGAACCCAAAATATATTTTTGCAGAATGCTAAAATAGCTTTTTCCTTAAAACGGCTACTTACGGAATGATTTTATGGAGCCAGATCATCCTGAGCACTATTTACAGTATGTTCAATGAATGGGGAAAAAAGATGTTTGGACATAATGCTAAACTTGTCTTTTTGTGTTTTATGATATAAGTTGTTTTAAAATGTACTCTTAGTCCTGAGTCAAATGTCCTTTTTAGTCTTTGACATGTTTAGTCAACTAGTGCTGTTTTTTAATTTAGTTTTAGTTGATGAAAACTATTAGTCAGGCTGCATAATGGTTAAACTGATAATCATAATTAGTTTGCTCAGTTATAATCATAATTATTGATTAATCTGAGAAATTTTATCTGAATTATTGTTATCACTTTCACCTATAAGCACATATAAAAAATGTTTAACTTTTATTCACTTATTTTACCTCATCTAGTTTCCTAAATGATCATATAAATTAACACTCTCTACATTGTGAAAACTGGTAAAACTCAAAAGCTTCTCTCAAAAGATAGTGAAATTATTAATATTAAACCCAATAATTCCAAATTATATTCATGTTTTTCCATTAAAACAACAACAAAAAATACCATGTTTGTATTTATTACAGTTCGGTTTTGATGGCAGATTTTCTTTTGTGACTGGTAACCCTAATACGAAAACTTGTGAAGTCTATATTTTTTTCTCTTTTTATTGAAGAAAATATTGATATTTTGGATATAGAGTTTTTATATTTTAAACTCTCATCTTTTTTCAGCACTGTACTTCATCTTGGTATAGTCACAGTTAGTGTTTAATGATGTTGGTGCCGTCTCATCTTAGTCATGGAAAAAAAGGTTGTGAACAAATATTTTTCATCAGTGTTTTTGTAAAGTAAATTAACACAATTTTATGAAAAGTCATATGGGTTTGGATTGTCATGAGAAAATAAATAATGACACAGTTTTCATTTTTGGGCGAACTATCCCATTGATTGTATTGTGTGTGGGTCAGTGTGCTGTAAGTGGGACACGTTCACCTGCTTGAGGAAACACAGCAAGAAAAACCGAGACCATCAGTGCTGCCAAACGTGTCTGTGAACCAATCAGGTGTCAAATGCTTCAGTACGCACACACACACACGCATGAACTTAAGCCAGGGATCAACAGATTCTCCTATCAAGTTCTGGACACTGTTAATGATCTCCGTAAAGCGCAAGCCAACCACAAGGTTTCTGCCGTACACAAGGGCACAGCGTGAGCTCTTACAGGACAACATTTAATTGATCTCTGAGGAATCGGACTGACCGTGTACAATGTTCTGGCCTATATTTCACCTCCGATCACAACCTCGCAGCTCGCATCAGAAAACTGCCGAGCAGGACACCTGATACACAAAGGAGCATATCAACACGCTCTCAGGATCACTGTTTCCTAGTAACACAACCAAACGCAGGATTATAATCAGGGTAAACAGTCCCCTTAAACCAGACACCACTACAGAAAACGAATAGAATAGAAAAGAATAAAACACAATTGAATAGAGCAAAACAGAATAGAATAGATCATGATAAACATGAACAGAATAAAATGGAAAAGAAAAGGGATAGTTCGCCCAAAAATGAAAATGAAGTCATTATTTATTTACCCTGTTGTTGTTTTAATGACATATGACCTTCTTTCTTTTTTAGACCACAAAAAAGAGAAAAAATAAAACGTCCAGTTCGCGCTCATCCATATAATGGCAGTGAATAGTCGTTAACCAGCATCAAACCTTAAAGAAAAAGATGCAAAAGTATCACATAAAGAATGATCCTATGCGACTTGTGCTGCATTTTCCAAATGTTCTGAGGGCATGTGATAGGATTTGGTAAATTCAAAATAAAAATGAATATATTATTTAGCAAACATCCTGGCTGTTGGCCTGCTGTGCATGACTGTTCATGAGACCGTATCAGCGCAGCAGTTCCCTCTGGCTTGCCCAGGAAAAGCACACAAGCACACCATTTCAAGAAATCAAATCTACCAAAACACTACACTTAACACAATACCTAGAAAAGGTTGACAAAAGTATACTAGTATACATGTACTTTCTTGTTTCAGGTGAATATCTCTGGACCGAAACTCTGTTTTGTTCAAAGCGAGTTCTTGCATTTATATCTGTCGAATCTCATTCTGACCGTCATCTAACCAGAGATATTTACCGCAAAAATGAAAGTATGTGCATCATTTTCTAGGAGCCCTGTTTCATGTCGTATTGTATTAATAATGATTTCTCAAAATGGAGTGTTTGTGTGCAGACCAACAACAAAAGTAAGGATTTTCTCTTAAGTTTCCATCCGTTTTTTTTTTTAACCAAACCTTATCGAATGCCCTCAGAACATTTGCAAATTATGGCACAAGTCACTAGAAGGTTATACAGCAACAGCACCAGGGTGAGTAAATAATGACTGAAATTTCATATATGGGTGAACCATTCCTTTAAGCATGTTAAAGAAGAATACAATAGAATTCACATATACATTCACAGAGTACCTCCTATTCTCCTGTTCTTTCCTCAAGTACTTTAGTCTCTTAAGCCTTGAACTGGAGCTCTGATCAAAGTCATTTTAACATGTTCCTGTTTTGTTGATTCTAATGCATGTGTAACTGGTCATAGTCATAGAGTTCTTGATGCTCTGAAAACAATAAAGCCAACTCCCCCAGCCACTGTAAACAGTTTATGATTCCAAGATTTTTACAATTCCAAGACCGTTTTTGTCAGCAGCCACAAGATGGCACCACATCCTTTAAAAACTAACGGTGAATCTCACAAAACATATGGTCACATTTCACCACATGTATGTATATATATATATATATATATATATATATATATAT